ACATTGGTGAATGCCACAAATTCTCCTAAATCACTCGTACGCACAACTTAAGAACAAATCTGTGCGTACGAACGGTTCTTGCATGAGGCCCATTGATACTACTCCCTTCCCATTTACTAACCCTTATCCCGACATGGAAAACTAATTGTTTTGTTTGTTTACCAATGATTATTAGATTAGGTCGGCTTTTTTTTTTTGCGATATGCTGTTTGTGTTTACGTGCATGCATACTTCCTACCTTGAAGGAGTCGAGCCGTTGCTGTGCAATAAGAGAAACCTTTTCTACGACGGTCCGAAGCCGGGACTGTGTTGCGTGTGAGATGAACGTCACAGCTTCCATGGAAACCTCTGTCACTCCAAACTTCTTGGCTGCAAAGAATAAACACATACAAAATAAAAATAAGACTAACTTTTAACATCTTTAGTTTCAAACAGACACTTTTGTACAGCCGGTACAGTAAGTTCCTTATGGTTATTAGCAGAAAGCTCATTCACCTCATTATATGCTGACATTCTACTTTAATGAAGAGTTTTATTTTAATAGCTGTTGTTTTTATCTACTTAAGGGCTAAACAGACTACAAGCGACCATCACATAGTCTCAGTTGTGTCCATGAGTTGGTGGTTTAGAAAAAGAGAACCAAAAACCAGGTGAAAAGCACCAGGGTTTGTGTGTGACTAGTATCCAGTATATGTGTGGCTATATGGGAATACTGAATCAAACTCTCACAAAGGAGCTGTCTAGATTAGTGTGTACAATTAACTTTCACATAGAGAAGTCATTTGACAGAAAAGTTCATGTTTTTCACAGTCATTGAGCAAATTCCAGCATGGTTTTACAAACTGAGCCCCCTTTTTCGACGTGTAAACGACATTGACCATCTCTCTCTGCAGAAGGATAATTTAGTTTCCTCGGAGCAAAACTCATCTGAAGACATAACAAAAGAGAGGACGACAGACTTTGGTAGGGTTCCTATCTGTTTCTAACTTCCTTTTAAATTATTCCATTAACATAATTTTCTCTCTGGCACCCTTTTAAGTAAACCACACCAATTATTTAAATCAGCTGAACAATGCATACACTCCTCAACAGCTGAAGCTTTGAAACAGATGGAGAGAGCCCTGTTAGTCTTATAATTACAGTGGCAATACATGTGGCAATGTCACAAGGTCGCAGAAAACTGCTCACAGGCTTCTGCTCCTTAAAAATACAATCTTTCAGGGACATTAATATTTTAGAAAAAGTTTAAGAGACTCCACTACGAAGAGAGAGAGAGACTCATTTCTGTGAGCAGAAACTGTTTTTTTTTTCTCAGATTGCAATGATCCTAATTATTATTCTTCACCTAGAAAAAGAACAGGCTAATGATCTACACTGCCTTCATATTTTCTTGTACTAGAGTTGTCRTGATTTAGATGTGGCAAAACAGGCCTAAAACCGTGGTAATAACACCTCTTACATATCTAAAGCAACTGCATTTCTAGGAATCGGGGATGTGCACATGAAATGAACAGTCCTCACAGGTAGAAAAGCATCTTTACCTCCTTCATGTTGCTTTTATTGGTCCATTAAAGGTCAAATTCAATTTAAACAAATCAAATTTGTCTGACATTAGACAACTGGAGTACAAATTCTTTAGCATGGTTTTGATGAGGCTCACGGTTGTGTTGGGTTCTTCTCAGAATCGTACACTTTCAAGTCCAAGGCAGAGCATTAACACAAACCTGATAATAACTGGAAACACTGAAAGCTCGCTCTAATTCAACCTTCAAAATCAGCTGTTATTTCAAGAAATGTCCACATTTTCTCAGAAATTTAATACTGGATCCGTGCCACAACTAACAGAACTGCAATAGATTTGATCCTATTCTTCAGTTTGCTTTGATTTTACAAACCAAAAGAAGTTGTGCACAAGSTTTTAGACCATATGAAGAATTAGAAAGGCTACTCAAACTTTAATGTGCCACAACATGTGCACAAGTGTGTACATAGACCTAAAGGTGCAAGAGGGACCATCATTACTTTGAGGAGCCTTTCTAGAGAACACCAGCTGTGCCTTTGCTCTGTATCTTGAGACGGAGGGTGGGGGGGGGGGTACTTCTTTGCAGCTTTGCAGTCCCTCTATGCTCAAGGACAGGCCTGAGGAATCATAAAGGGAGGTGGAGAGAGGTTTGGGAGAAATGGAAGGCACCGTGTTTGTTTGCAGGGGATAAATAAAAGAGTAGGGAGACAGGACATAGAGAGGGGATAAAAAGATAACGCTAACGTCTCCACTTTTCATTTCTTTTTAGAATGAATTAAAATAGAGGGGAATCGGAACATCGTACTGATAAAAGTTACAAAGTTAAAAAAAGAATAACATGGGAAGATGGTGTTCTGGTGGGCTGGAAAGGTCATAACATAAAATAAACTGAATGCTAAGCGGTAAACCCAAGAGAAGTTCAAGTTAGTGTTTTTCCAGCAGAAAGGAGCAGCCGAGGATCTCTGATTGAGTAAAGCTGGCAGGCCGGAGGAGCCTCCCCTGGACTGCTGTCAGCTGCGAGCGGAGAGAGACCAATCACTGACACAACAAAGCTGCAGAAGTGCCACTTCCCCAGCAGGGGGCACCCTARTCTCCTGCCCTGCATCATGCTGTGCGCTCCCCTGAGGAAATATTCATATTTTAAAACAACCTCTCTACCCCAAGGTGACGGAATAACAACCACGCCAAGAGTCCACGTAACGAAACATGACCTGCAGGCCCCCACGCTACACTAAAGATACTTTAATTGAGATGAAACGAGATGAGGGCGCGAGGCGCCCCGTCTCGACACATTACGCTGTGTGTTTTTTGATCTTTTGCACAGGAGAAAAGATGCTGGGCATAGTTTTATTTTGAGTAGTAATGTTCACTTCAGCTTATACAAATTTTGGTGTGTAGTTAAAACCTTAAGAACAAATCGAGCAATCTCTCTAGAATGGTAACACCATCTGCCTTTGGAGTGTCAAAAGCCATTAAAGAGAGAATTAAAACTTCACTGCTAACTTTCCATTCCTTTAAAACTCTTTTCTTTTTGTCCAGAGGACAATTTGACAGCTAGCCTTCAAAATACAAACCCATAAAGGATTTATGTGTGTGCCTTAGGTYCACTGGGTTCAGGCAGCCACTGAAGAATTGATTAGAGGCCGCTATAATAAAAGGGTCAAATTTAAACCAAAGCAAAACAAGAAAATACTCCGTTTGACTCTGGTTTCAGTACTGACACAATGAATACAGAAAATGCATCCACTAAACAAAAACAAACTCAAACCGGGATGTCATTGGGACTGCATGACAAGTGGTGTAAACATTTCTCACCAGTTTCCAGGATCCGTCGGTGCAGCAGCCCCGGATGGAGAAAGGCCTCGTCTTTACACGAACGGATTTGTGTTCCTACTAGCTCTGAGTTGGTCGCGAGGATTCGTGCGCTCTCCTCGTTCAGATTTACCCCGGCCATGGAGGCCACATCGTTGATGTCGTCATCATCTCTGAAAGGAGTGCGATGGTAGATTAGTAAATAAATAAATAAAGATTCAATAGAAAAATGCTGAATTTATAAGTAAAAGGTGTTCAAATGTAAACTAAATGATCGTATAGGAGACATAGTGGCCACATGAAGCTGGATTTGCCACTGAATAAATACATTTAAGTACCTGTGACATCACATTTTTTGTAATTAACATAAATGCATTTTTGGAAAGATAACATTGACAACATATTGCAAAAATAAAATCACACTGCTGAGATGAACAGTTGTTGAGATATTTGCATGTGAAGTAACAGGAAGTGATGTCAAAGGGGAATTTCTAAAAATGAGCAGAGCGTTGCTACAAGTTACGGCTAACAACCCAGATAGTAGAGAAAAATATGATGTTCCTTTAGATTATTTTGAGTCATCAGATTGAGATGAAGRAGAGTCCGGGTTCAAATAATATTGTTTCAATAAACAAAGACAGTGGAGTGCACTTTCTTTAAGAGTTCCCCTTTGATGTCGCTTCCTGTTTCACTTTGGGTGAGCACATTACGCAACAAAATGGGAAAAATATGTATTATGCCAAGTTTTTAGATGTATTTAAATATGTTTGGAACAGAGAAACAGCTGTCATTATACCCATTAGAGTTTAAACAAATTTAGTTAAACTGTTTTAAAGTAATACAGTAGGTGCAATTTACAACAATAAAAACCTGCTGGTTGTCACACTAGAGTACATCCAAACTCAAGTCTGTTAAACAGCCCACAGGTAGCTCCAACTTGGGGAAACAAAGGCATGGGTGACCTATTATTTGAGACCTTTCAACTGAAAAATGTGACAATTGCTGTAAATTGCTAAGCTGCTAATGCTGTAAATAATACTCTAGACTCACATGTATGGACATGTATGTTTTGTTGGACAGCCTGCAACAACACAGAACATAAGAGCTCAGGTAAAACACAGAGATAGAGCCACTGCTCTTTCTGGTAAAATCATTACACTGCTTTATCCTTGCATTATAAATAGTGGTTTACTGCCATATTAAGGTATGAAAAAACATATATTCAGCCTTTAAGTAGTTACTCTATACCAGCATTCATGTCACAAGATTATAAACATTTATTCGTTGAAAAAAATATCTTGTAGATGTCGTTCTTTCTTATAAATACTTGCCTGGGAGAAATTATGCATTAGTTTTCCCTTTTTTTCTATTTTACAGATTACATTTGGTCATAATGGCACAGGCTTCTCATTCTAGGGTCTATTAGTGTCAACACGTGGAGAGGCGGGGAGATGAAGAGCGTTTGGAAGGAGCTTTGCGGGGTAAAGATGCTCCTGAGGATTGGCAATACACAAAAGTCAACAAACTCTATTTACACACCGCTCCGCAACACCTACTCATTTATATTTTGTTATGTGCCGATCATTTCTCACAGGTACAGTGTTGACTTCTCCATGTTTCTATGTTATTGCATATTAGCAGAGGCAGAGCAGAGTAAACAAACAGAATTTGCATTTGAGTTGGCATATTTGACAGTCAGAAAGCTTGCACACATCCTGCCGGTAAGTTTCCCCGTGACTCGACACTGTGAGAAATTCCCCTATGATCACTATGCTTGGCAAATAAAGATTGTGAATTAGCAGCGCAGTGACATGTTGTTCTTACAGGACTCGCCMAAAGCAAGAAGCGGTTTTTCTGAGTGGCTTTGACGGAGAGAACAAAGACCCAGAGAACGCACGCAGGGTGGCCGCTCACCACTCACCGCCTCAGCTCCGCAGCCATTTACGTTCTCGCCACTGTTGTTGGTTTCGACAGTTATGTGTGTGTTTTGTTGTGCTTTTGTGTCCGCAACACAGGGCCACGGGTTCTCTCAGGCATCTTGAAGTGTGTCCACACATACCATCCTGCAACTCCACCCCACCGAGRTCCTACTGCTCCACGGTGCGGCCGCAGAGAGCCGATATGAAACTTGACATCATGGCGGGAGGCTGACAAAGACAATTAGAGCAGCTTGGTGAACCTCACACACCTCTACCTTCTCTCTGTTTCTTTCTCTTCTCTTGCAGCACTCTAATTAAACCTTCACAGAGATAATCTACAATACATCACAGGCGCTGACACATTTTGTAGGAGCCTGCCCTGGTCTGCACGGCGGGCCCTGCAATTTTTTCCTCATCATTGCCTCGGGGGGGAGTCGACCTACCTTAAAAACMAACATGCTGGAGGCCATATTTATTGAGGTAAGAAAAAAAGTTGGCTGCCGTTTCAGCAACTTCAAACAAGGTAAGTGGATGATGTTTGTGACAGAATAATGATTACACAAGGTAACTCAAAAGCAAAGCAAGTAATTATCTGCCATTTCAGTGAATCAAATCTGTGTAACTTTCAATCAAAGCACTAAAAAAAGGAAGCATGGCTTACAAGAGTTTTATATTCTTTAACTTTAATGTTACATTGTGGAGCCATTTGGTCAGGTTTAACTATTAACTATAAATTCCTTATATATTTTAATGCCTCTATATTAAATGAGGCACACAGGCAAGTGGGCAAAGGCAACAATACTATGTAACCAATGTACTGATCTCTGGGTGTTTAATATAAAAGTTAAGTTTTCAGTTATATTCTCTGGCTTGTATAACGAAATAAAGGCTAAATTCATATGCTTYGCAAAAGGACAGCTCAACAGGCAACCAATAAAAAAATGATTATAATAAATAAATAACATGCTTACCTCTGTATAAATTATTTTTTAATGATTTTTATGTTTGAATATCTTGGATGAAAACATGCATTTCTGTGTWGCAAAGGCAGTACTGTATAGAACATTTTGTWGACACAAGAAAAACCCTTAAAAATAATAAATAAAAACCTAACCTTAAATAAAACCCTTTATTCACGAGTATCATTTTCATTTAAATAATTAAATCTAATATTTGATGCCTAAATAAACGTAATAAAAAGTTGGGGGAAAAAAAGAAAGAATCTTAACAGATAACGGAAAATACAAGAAGGTGTCTACAATCAGCAGATTTCTCTCTTAAGTGAGTGTCAAAAAGGAACATCCACCAAAGGCGTAGTCTTTCCTACAAAATACCATTCACTAGGTATCAAAAAAATAAACAATGTTGTTTTTCTTGCAGCTATACCCTTCTTCGGGGGTTGCCACAGAGAGTGAACTTGCACAAAAGATTCGACAGGTTTCTTACTCCGGGTGGCCCTCCTGAAGCAACCTAGGCTCAGCACCAATTCAAATAAAGTGAGAAGTTCTACACACAGGCAAATAAAAAGTTTTATATTGTGAGGGTTAGGTGAAAATTTAGATTATTTTTTATTTAGTTATTTTTGTTGCTGTCTGGATGTTTCTGCCATAAATTTTAGATGCTCATTTTCAAATAACACCATGGTTTGTTRAAAAGTTGTCCTCAGAATTGAAACTTGTGCCCAATCTGTTTTAAATATCACTCTTCATTTCTAGCTTCTTGCCCAAACATGGTTATTTCCTGCTACAAAAAATAAAGACAGCAGAAGAGCAAAYTGAATGACATCAACGTGAAATTGTCTATATTTCATTTACAAAAAAATGCAACAGAATTTGAGCGAACCACAGTTACRTCTGCATACATTAATATTTGCAGCTTTGTTAAAGATGAGCATGTCTTCAATATGACTGGCAATACATTTCCATATAATAAAAGAACATAAAAAATGTTTCACTGTTTTGTTGTAAGGATTGGTTGAGTCATAAAAAAATCAATAAAATACATATTYTGTATTCACAGGATTAGCTGATATGACACCAGAGGAGCAGAGGTTTATTGTGCATTTCCAGCAGCTGCACTGAATCATTCAAATGAACCTGAGATCAAACTAATTCTGTCTCTTTATTTCCACCCGTTAAACTGGAGAAAGTGATAAAAATCAGTCACAAAAACCTCTCCATCTTCTTCAGCAGSTAAGTAGCTTAAGAACATGAAACATCAACCAATCTTTAAGAACACCGGATGGTCTAGTTTCGGGGCATCACCAAAACTAAAGCAAATAAAACCCCTAAAAACAGCTCTGACATTAAAAGTAGGGAATGAAATATGAAATGCAAAATATTCCGGACTATACCTCCCTGCTAATAAAGCTGAAATGTAATTAGCTTCCACAGAAGCTAAAGAACAGCCTCTCAGTTATTGGTACGGGTTGGCTCGGGGACATAGAGCCAGCGGCCACATGGATACATATGCATGCTGTTTCCATATCAAGCTTGTGTTACAGCCAGGGCACGCCATAGGTGGTGGGCGGACTGCACTTGCCATTTAAAGGGCGTGTGCACGTGTGTGTGAGTGGATCTGCTATGCCCCCCCCCCCCACACACACACACACACACACACACACAC